GTTTTGTATGGACGCTCGGATACGCGCAGGTTCTTTTCTTTTCTTTTTCGCCATATATATTTCGCGAATCCCTGTCCCCTGCACCCCAGGGCGGGTAATCGTGCTGTGCTGTGGGTGACGCTGAAACCCAGGTCAAAGCGGCTATGCACCGCATGCTGGCTATCAGTACAGTACTCGTACATGAATGTATCTTGACCCTTGCAGCGCGCGTAATCCCGGGAGAGGCGTGAACGGTCCGGCGCAGTGTGTCTGTCTGGATGGGATGGGATATCATAGATCGTGCAAAGAAGATGAATTAACGCCCTGGAGGGTAAACTTTTTGTTTTTTGTTTTTTGTTCTTAATTTTGGTTATGCGAAATGGAAAATGTACGTCATTCAGAACTTCCGATTTATGGTTATCATAGGTTTTTTTTTTCTTTTCTTTTCTTCTTCTTTTCTATTCCTTTTTGTTTTTTACTGTCTATTCTTATCATACCCTTTTCCTTTCTTTACTTTTCCATTGTGGTGAGTCGAGAGAGTGTGTGCGAGTGGAATGCAAGTGATCGGGTCGTGTGACCTGTACTGTACTAGTACCGTACTGTACAAGTACTACGAGTAGTAATTTAGATCGCATGGACATCTTGAGCCGCCAGGTTTTTCTTCTTCTTTCTTTTCTTTTTCTTTTCTTCTCCTGAAATGCCCCTGGTTCGTCGGGGAGGTTTTGGGGCAAATAGATGCTAGTAAGAAAGGTTCGTGAAAATACGTTTGCACTACTCGAGTGTGTCGGTGATATTTAGTGCCTTAGGATAATGTGCGGAAGGTAGTGTGATAGATAAGGTAGCCAACCGAGGTAACGGCATGAGTATACGTCAGTAAGTAGGCTGTACTGTACCATTGGTCCTAGAGACGTCTTTTTTTCTTTTTGTTTTTTCTTCACGCGACAGGGATTATTTCGAAGGTTAATCTGAATAACCGCTCTCCAACTCTCTCTGCTGGGTACTTGTATGATACTTGGCAGGTACTGAAATATAAATATCATACATATTTTTTTTTTTTTTTACCGGCGCGGGTAGTTATCGATGTCTGGGCGATATGATAGGATTATCGTCCCTTTCCTGCGGCCGCCGAGCAAGGCGTAGAGGTTGTTGAATCATTCATCGTCTTTGTAGCAAGCTTGCTTCTTCTATCTTCTCCCAATTCGGGATGCGTATTGTATTCAAGTGCGCCTTGGGGGCATGCTAGCATACCTGAAGTGCGGTACGACTTGCAAATGGTTGACAATGGCTCATACAAAGCTAGTGAAAACGCCGGATGGGGAACGCGGTGGCGGATGGTATGCTACACTAGAGCGCATGAATGCAGACATAAGGGATAATTTTTTAAGCTTGAGGTATTTTTATTTTCCCCCTCTCCCCCCTTTCGTTGGTTACGTTCTATTCCGCAATCACCAAAATATATCGAGATGTTTTTGGAGACTGAATATTTCTTGGTACCTAGAGCGGGCTTACTCCAAAGAAAGAGGTAATATCATTCCCGGATAGCAGCTGCCCCTTGACTCATTCTGGGCGAAATGACGAGTGGCGCAAGGCTCACGGGTTGGGGGAGTGGGGAAAATGGTAATGTTGTGAAGTATTGTGGGTCCATGGGTGAAATATTTCGCAACTTTACAATTTTCCGTGTTCCACGATGTGAAAGTCTCCTGCTCCATTCTCCTTCCTAACCAATGGAGGGGTACCTTATATCTGATATGAATTTTATCCCCGGGATTGGTTTGTCTTGGGTATATAGAAATATGGTGTTTTCAAAAATATCGCGATGCGTTTTTATTAACACTTAAGGGGACAGAGATTAGCTACCCATGTTTGCATCCCCCTCATTATCACCCTAATCACCCTTCTCGACTCCCTTAAATTACTCCCCTCTCCGCCCGCCGAGAACCCCCCAATACAAGCAGGCACAGCAAATCGCAACACGATCATACTCAATTATACGAGACCTCCCCTTGTCGGGGGAGCAGTCAATCTCAGCGCTGAGAGAGAATCTCGACAGCTGGCTCCGGCTGCCTGCTGGCCTGGTCGGGGTATAGTAGCGCTTGCGAGAAGATGAATTTGGTAAACGGATAGAGGAGGTAGGTCCTCCATGCGGCGCATGTAAATCTCCTGGAACCCGGGCATGCTCGTGGAGTGCAGTGCTCGCAGGGGTTTAGTGGGACATTGACGGGGTGTTAGGCGACAGGAATCAGGGCAGCGAATACCCACTTGAGGCGGTGGAGGCTGGGGTTTTGAGAGTGGTTGAGGAGTAGTTGTGGATTTTCGATCAAATGGATGTAAGTTACTGTAGCGTCTGGAGTTTTTATTTATTTATTCATTCATGTTTTGCCCACTTTGTGCATTTTCGCGCACTTTTCTACACCCCTTTTTGGGGAGCACTTACTTAAACCTGCTGTATTCGTTCCGCTTTGGGTCCTGCTTAAGGTAGTTAGTTACTTTGGTTACATATATGTGGTATTATACCGTTAAGTGTCATGGAAGCCTGATCTTGTACAAGTACGACCTGTCCTGTTCATATGCACTTAGGCTTCTGATCCGGATTTCTCGCAGCGCGGATTACGGTAGGGTGAGGCATCCGCTAAAGTACTGTGCCGCATAAAATTCCTCGGTCGGGGTCCGGGCCGTCCCGCCTGCATAAGGGAAAAGAAAAGAAAACGTGAACATGTATCATATGGTATCATTCGGTATTCCTGTTGAGCTTAGTGCTTATCCGCCTTATAGAGCTTAGTATGATATCGTTCTTTCCCTACTTGTTGCTTGCGCCACCGGTTACTTTGATTCCTCATCTCTTTCGTTATTCTCTCAACGTTAACTTTGTGCCCTATGCAACTATGGTATGCACAACCTGTTCTCCCTTCATTCCTTTCTCATCTCTTTTGGTTCTCCTCGCCTCTCATACTAGACTGCCGGTCTTGGCCTTTTATGTTTGTTTCTTGTCGGTGTTTCCTTTTCTTCCTCCTGGATTGGGGATATAAACTTACCGGAGCCCACGTTAATCAAAGATCAAGCTTCTCTGCTCGCTCATTAATCACTTCTGTGGTATGGATTGTGGTAGTTGTCATTGAAGATAAGGGATGCAATCGTAGACTCGTAGTAACATAGGTAAGACAGAGCACGGCAACAACCTGCGATAGTACTCTTGAAAGTCGGGCATGGAACTGTACCCCAAACAGGATTGTCATAATCGTGCATACTGCTTGTGATACTCCTCAGACACGGTGAGTGGTGAAGACCGCTTCAGCCGTATGATACCGAGTATATTGAGCCGATATATCTGGGAAATGAGAGGTAGAAATTTCCACCTCCAGACAAGCACCAAATCAAACAGCTCACAAGACGCCAGGGCCACCAACCTGGAAACTCCACCCCCTAATTTAGGATTACGGAGAGTCTCTCGATAAAGAACTGGAAAAAAGGAAGAAACACCAATGCTACCACTTTACAACCCATCCGCGGAGAAGCACAATTCTTCTCTCTCGAATCCGAATATATCGTACCTATCGGCGGGATATGTGCTTCTTCACAAGATAGAATCACTGGGAATACCTACTAGGCCTAGCATCTGAGCTGTCAAGAAATGATCGACCCCCGTCCAATATCGCGGGAGGCAAGGAGTTCAATCTTGATTGCGTCATAAATGAGCCATTATTGGGCTATCCAGCATGTAACGCAGGAAAATGTTCTGTGGGAACTGGGGAGGGGGATCGAGGACCCAGCTTTCTCAATCAATGTTTCTAGTGCGAAGCGGCCATGCGCAGGGGGTGGTGTCAATGATGGTCGAGGTAATAGAAGAGAAATGTTAAAAGAAAAAAAAAGAAGGAAGACTTAGTTCCACCTGTTTTACCACGGAGCGATATCCTAGCCACAGATCCAGACTTTCCACCGGAAAATGCCAGAATTGCTTAATTGCTCCGTGAGGGTAGTAACTATTCACCACCAAACCACCCCTCCATCATGTCAGCACCCCCCTCCCCATAACCCACACCATTCCCAGTTTTAAGTCGCGAAGGAGTAATTGTTACAGGAGTGCACGGCCCCACTAATATCTTGACAGTTCTACCACAGCAAACCGCAAGCGTCTGCTAGAACTTGCCCAAGAGCTTTTGCTATTCGAAAACGTGCAGCGGCGTACTGTAACTGTGTGCCGCGAAGGGTGGGGGGAAGTGCTTCAGTATCCTGCCGTGCATTCCGAGTAAACACTCATGCGTAATTGGAGAAGGAAGAAAAAATAATACTTGATAATACCGGTAACGCTAGGGTTGAAGTGTGAGAGCTAGAGATTTTTCTCTCCCTCTTGCAGGACTTGAAAAATACACCATGCTGTACGATTTATATATAAGTTGACCTTCAAGGCACTCCGCTCACTCGCCAAACTCGGGTGAGCTATATCCAGATTCGGTGGTAGTGTGAAAGGACTGTCGGGATACAATCGTGGTAGTCGTCATGGAGAATTGGGTTTTTGACTTCGGTAGGGACGTGTGGGGTTAAATTATAGAACAGAAACCTTCGGTGGAATATATGGGCTTATCGCGAGTAGGCTGCTTTCCCTTCCTTTGTGAATATTTGATCCGGGTCGCTTTGCGGTGGGATGTAGGAATAGGGCTGGGGCTTTTCCTCAATCTTGCTTCTGCTGTCGCTGCCCTCACTGCCCTCCTCTATGCTTAAGCAACCACGCTGGAGGAGCTGAGCAGACTCCTGCCTCTTCTGCATAATTCCGGGCGAGTATTGACGTCTTCTCAGCCGGACCGGTAGGGTGTTTCTTGGTGGTTTGAATGGAAGCGATTTGAGTGAAGCAGTTATTCTTGTTTGCTCTTGGTACTTGTAAATCATTACTAGTTTTCCATGACATGATGATATAAAACTTATGCGAAAAATGTTACATACTTCATCTAAAATATGCCCCTCCTCTAGAATCTGCTAGTGAGATATTGGAACGCTTACAAGTAAACCGTGTAGTCGGCACTCGCATTTCACCCAGAAAACTCCAACTCACCGACCTCCCCCCTCCTCAGCTTCGCATCGCTCCCACGTCTGCGGGCGTACTGCATCTCTACCTCGCACTCCCATTCCATTTTCTTGAGCTCTCGCTTCCATTGCTTTATGCCCTCCTGCCGCCACGCTTCGTCCTCACCCTCCTCCCTGCCGACACCCTCTTCCGCCGCTTCCAACCGCTCAGCCATCTCGCGCGCCCTATCCCGCTTCTCAACCCAGCGCTTGTATTTGGCATCGTCGCCGAAGCAGTACCCGTACCCATCGCAGTAGCACACGTGCTCCGCCGGGCAATACACCGCTCTATCCGCGTTCCTGGTCAGAGACGGGGAAGCGAAAATGAAGTGCCAGACATACTCCATCACTCTCCCGGAGACCTCGTCGCTGAGAGGGGTATCGGTGATCCATTTCCTCCAGGATACGTATCGTTCCTTGGCGTGCTGCATTATCCGCGAGCGGGACACGGCGAATTGAGCGCAGCAGGGGGTGCCGAGTATGTCTGGGATGCCGTCGCGCATCACCTCCTCCGGGAAGAGCTCCATGAAGGACTCGTGCATGACGAACTCCTCCTTCTTGAAATCGTCGTATTCCGTCGTGTTTAGTCTTATCCAGCCCGGACAGCCGGGTTTCCAGTGGCAACGGAGGTTCATGTATCCGTGCTCCGCGACGCGTTGGTAGTTCAGCTCCAGAAGCATCACGGGGGTTGAGGATACTTGTAGGTCGTTGTTGTGCCAGGCTGTCGAGTGCGCGTGTGTGAAGATTGCAATGTCCGGGAGGTTATCGTAATGCTCTATTATGTAGGTCAGGTACGCCTGCGCTTCGTGGCCCTTGTGACTTTGTTAGCCCCCGGCGGCGAGAAGGTGGGGGGGTGGGGGTTAACTTTATTAATTGGGACTGTAAGTGTGCTCGGCAGTGTATCGCCTTCATCGGGATCGATCAAGTATGTTTTGGTTATGATGTTGAGGTCCTCCGGGAGGTAGGTGAGCCATGTAACGTCTTCGCTTCTCATGCGCGGGAGAACAAGGTGCTTGGAAAAATTGTCGGGCATGAAGACAGAAACTCCGTGAGGAATGACCTCTTCCTCGATTGGGATTTTCTCACTCGCGTCTTCTGGTTCATCTTCCGGCTTCGGTCCAGCTTGTTCCACCGGTCTGTCGGCCGCAAGGTTGTTGGTGCGGGGATGGGATTCTATACTTGACGAGCCTGGTTTGGGGGTTGAATGGTAAATGTCGGAGAGTGTGTACAGTACGAAAAAGGTAACGACACAGGTGATTATGATTGCGCGAACCTGTGAGACTGTTGACGCCAATATTGTGACTGGCATATCTGGCTAAAGTCGTGATGGACAATGGTGCGAAGGCCCTGGTCCTGGTCGTTCTCAGAGCGCGGTCTGTCGGCCCCGGACATCCCCTCTCTTTGCGCCTCCGAGGAAGAATTAATATGTCCTCTGGGCATGCAGGTCCCAATCTGGGTAGTCAATATAGCGCCGCCCCCGGCTGTACTTGGTACAATGATCGACAGGGAGAGATGTCGAAGGATGGTAGTGCGAAAAAAATCTGGAGAATAACAACAACAAGCACGCTGGCGCAAGTCTCAAGCGGAAGTGCAGTGCTTAAGTGAGGGAAGATAGCGCAAGCAACACTGGAGCACGAAGACTATAATAGTCGCACGCCAACGGGATGACCGGGAAACAGGCCGAGCAGAAAGCATGCGATTCGCGGTTAGGACTGGTGGGCATAATTGATGGCCATTCTTGAGGTTATTGCGTAGTGTAAACGAGTGGGAATCTTGATTGAACCCCCCTCTCGCACAGGTTTTCGTGTTATTTACAAGCTTCAGCCTCAAGCTTGGCAGGGAGCATTCGAGTTAGGGTTTGCCAAAAAAGAAACTATTGATCCCTGCTCATTTTGTTGAGCACAAGACGGCAGTGGACTAGTACTGTACAGTACTGTACAATAATACAAGTATCATCTTACGGCTATTGCAACCTCACCTTAGGAGAAACGTTACATTTTAAACGTCTATCATAGTAAGAATTTAGGACAGTCGAAAAATAAGGTGAACCGTCTGTTGCCACACAATTCTGGCAGCTGGTTGTGACTGTCTAGTAACTTATCAATAGAAATTTCGGAAGTAGGTGGTTAGGCAAACATACCCCCAAGTCCCCTGCCATTTCGCTGATTCTGGTACTGTACTCGGGTAGCCCATTTTATGCCGCATCATGCTGTGCCGGTATCATACTAGACTACCCCAATATTTGCAGAAACAGTTGAGCATGGTGTGTGGTCGGAACCTTTCTCAGATCACTCAGACTCTCCTCCTGCCCGGCAATCCGTGTATCCGCCTTGTTCCCAAAGCTCTCATCCACTAATAGTACCTAGCGTGGCTACTGGATGAATCATTTTGTACTATGACAAAATGTATCATGGTAATTATGACTTCTCATCGTCCGGATATTTAGCCCATTGCGTGGTGAATTGATCGGGTTCGTTCTGGGTGAATTAGACTTGTGGACGGTCTGCTAAGGCATGCGCAAGCTGCTATTTCAGTTAAGGGTTGACAACACGATCTACTGTGCATCATTTTATTTTTTGTGGACTTGGATGTGTGACTACCTAAATTAAATAATATAATTTCTATAGCCAAGTCAGGTGTGGTGCCAACGAAGGTATCAGAACTTTACGAATGCCACTATCCACTGCTGAGTGGGGAAAAACTGCCGCTTAGTGGTGCAGCGGTGAGAACCGGTCTCTATTCTCACTAGATGGAGTGAGTATAGTACAGCACATGTCTCTTCATTACTCATCTCCAGAGGGGAGAATGAGGAAAAGGTTCTTTTTTAAAAAAAGGAAAAGTCCGGAAACAGAAGGTATCCCATGGACTGATGATGCATGCAAATTCCACGCTTTCTAACCCAAGTGTGGCCTGGCGACTTTTCCTCACAAAAGCCATGAAACCTCAGCTGATTTTTTATGGAGAAGCCGCGCAGCCAGGATACGGGAATCTGCTTGTCTCATAAATTAGCCTGACAAACATTCTTCGGGTGGCAGAATTTGGCATGTGCCTCTAGGGTAGTGAAAATCTGGGGAAGGCAATGTAGATCCCGCTGCAAGGATTACCTATCGCCTGCGGTTTCTGGACTGATAGGTGGAGAGGGTTGCAGCAGGGGTGATTTTCTGTAATACTCTCCTGCATTCAGTGGATATACTAGAGTAGCTGCTGTGCGATCTAGCTTTTGGTCCTCCATTAGTGTGGTTTGTGAATAACTTAAGGTGTCTCACATCCCTGTGTTAATGAGTTGAGAAAAGTCTGTGACTTTAGGATTCCGAAATGCATTGCTTGGAGGTAAATGTGGTGATTGTTGCAGTGACCATCGGGTTAGGGGTTCATGGTGTGGGCTAACCAGGAGAGGCCGAGTGCTGGTGGTTGGAAAAATGGTCAAACCTTTGTATAGTACTCGAGTGTTGAATGTCGCACCTCTCTCCTAGCTGGCAAAATTTCATGGATTTTATCTGGGACAATCGGGCCTACAGAGCAAAGGTGTGAGAAAACCAAAAATGAGAAGCTTTGTTCTAAAAAATATTCATATCCTGTATTAACACCCTTATTTGTCTATCTAAGATAATCGGCACATAGACATGATCTTTGTGCTCCTCTTCCTGACCACTAATGTGAATATACGCTGCCCTAATGTACAGTACAAATTTAACCCCCTTGTCTATAATAATTTCCCTTTCTCTTCACTGAACCCCCTTCCCTTTGCCTCCTCCTTTCACTTCTCATAAGATGCATACGAAGCAAAATTTCTCTCTTGCATTAGGTAGCTTAGTAGTGGACGCCCAGGTTTGTGGAGCCGGTGAAACCTTGTGGGCTTGATCTGTCTGGGTGTCGCACTAAGGGGGTATGATATAAGTAGATCCGGATATCAATAATGGCAGGAATTTGGGGGTTGGAGCCCATAGGAGAAGGGTGGAGTGAAGTCTTGCTACATTATTTTTCACTCTGCCCTTTTCCCACAATATTATGCTAATCCGAAAACGGTCTTTTCTAACCCGGTGTGTGGAGTCTATAGGGGTCTACGAGTAAGAATGTTAGAGATTTTGTACTGCTTAGCGAGGTATCTAGTTTTGTGCGATCCGGGATATTTAGGTGTGAACATGCAAGAGTAGAGAGGACTCTGTCGTTCTACTATCGGGTTACCGGCGGAAATTAGCCCTGCAACCCGCCAAGAGTTTAGCTTGACAGGTGAAGAGAATTGCAAATACTCTCTAATGAGATTCACCGCATCTGTTGGAACTGGGCTGATACTATACGGGGTCGTGGGGACGCGGGCTCCACCAGAAGCTTTTGTCTCGGCATCCGGGGGTTATCCGTAATAAGGGCTTTTACGGTAGGGTCGCATCCCGAAAGCGTGAATACCGCTAAACTCTTGAATAGTACGGGATCTTGGCTCCTCCTAATTCTCAGAATTTCACCCACTGAACCGGAAAAGGGAGAATTCAGATTCGTATGTGATTTTTTGGAAATATAACCCCTTGTCCCTACAGAACGTTTGCCTGCTAAATTGGGCGTAGTGGTTACTCACTGCAAAACAATAAAAGTACTAAAAGGCTGAAAGGCTTAATGTAAGGATGGTAAGGGGAGGAAAGGGGTGTGGAGAAAGGAAAAGGAAAGAGGAATGGTGAAGGGTATTGTGTGGGTTCGGAGTTGAACTGGGGCATGGAGGGAGAGTATATTGCTGCTTGTAAATGCCGAAATAATTGGGAATATCACTGGGACGTTGGAGTTTCCTCTCCTAGTAAGGTTTGTTGTATTTTTTTTCTTTTTATTTGTCTCAGCTAGGGGCTAAAAGATAATCTTTCACTAATCCGGTGGGGGAAATTCTGGACGTCCCAGCGCCATTCCAAATTATTCCGATTTTTAGGGTATTATTTGTAGCAGTGATGTAGAGGAGGACGCAGAACATGTTCATCTGTTGCTAATGGATGGACAACTGAAAGTGTTAACAGTGCTTAGGAATATTAACTAAAATGGGGTCTCATAAGGATAAGAATAACCTTTTTTAAATAATACGAACTCTCTCAGCCCTTGGTGGTACCATACAGTACGATATCGGTAACTGTCTCGGACAATAACACCAGAGGTATTTCCTGTCGCCTCTCGCCGATCATATTTCCTTTTCCCTAGTATCCCTGCCACCCCCGGGAACAGTCCCCTCACGCAAATCTTTACTCTGATCCTACTTCGGACCATTAGTGATCCCTGCTTGATTGGCCTCCTTTTCCGAAGCTATGGAATTGACAGGTGGGGTATGGTACCGATATTCTTGCACTATGCTCGAGCACAGTAAGAACTCGGAGGGAATTGTACCCGCTACAGCAGGACGTTGGAATTCCTTCCTCAGCTGCGCTAGGGGTAAACACCGCAGACTCAGCCCTCGGCTAGGGACGAAGCGAAAATACCGTAATATGCAAAGCGCCTTGCCACTTGAAGGAGAGTCAATTACTCGAGTACTCGAGTCCTAACTTAGCACATTTTTCTTCTGTGCGGGGTTGTTGGACGGTCCGCTTGTGCGCTGGAGGCGACTGGCGATAGGGATCAACAGTCGGGGTGCTATCGGTTGTCGTCTACCGTATGTAAACATGGACCCACCCCACTCTCAGATATTCACCTCGAGCCAATAATACCGACCAGTCACCATGTTAGCCTGGATTTACTTGCTCCTACGGTCATTGTGCTGTACTCGCTCTTTTTTTTGCCAAGAATACCTCCGTGGGCCGGGTATTTGGTGAGGAGTCCAGCAAAATATCGGGTGCCGGAGGTGTCCTTGGCAAAGACGAGTGAGTACTTAATCCATGTTTCCCATCCAATACTCACTCCGTTAAGGGGACAGAGTCCATGGAAATAGAGAAGAGAAAAACGCTGGGTAGTTCTACCGAGAGTTTTCCCCAGTCATTTTATTCATTCAGGGTGTGCTCACAGTCCCGTGGGTGATTGCCTTGTACTGTAGATGGCTGGCTACAGATGCTCAGCACCATTCAACTCTAACAACCCGATGTCTTGGCGAAAACGGATACGAGTAATAAGTTAGTCGTATCGTTGAAGACGACATAGGGCGGTGAGACCTCCGTTTTCCGGCCGTCCCTCGTGTTTTGTCTGCACAAAGTCCGGCGATTTTGGAACTATTGTGTAAGTGATATCTCATGACGCCACCTGTGCATGAAATGAAGAGTATGGTACCGGTTCTTGGGCAGTTGGTGAGTTAGGGCGCCGCACACGAGGGGATGAAACTGTGCGAATGGGTTATCGTTTGTCATTCAGTCT